CTACTTCACCAAATGAGTATTTTTTCATGAAATTAATTATAAAAAGTATAGTTTAAAGTTAAATCACCAACAATATGATACATTTCAGATTAAAAGATACATACAATGTATTTGGATGCACTCTCAGTTTCAATAGAGTAATCTAATTCACCAGCTAGGCCCTTCCTAAATTCATTAGCATAAAGGGGAAGGTGACTTATAGTTAAGATCAATGTTTATGAACTTATTGTTAAGATGCTATAAGTTTCTCTACTTTAGACATGATTTGCAGGTGCTTATTAAATTATGTAAATTACGTATACTTATATTTTACATAGTATGTGTCGTACTAAACAGAAATTTTAGCTATTTTATAGCATGCATAAAAAACTTACGCTTTTACGCTTTGATTCTACGCTTTACGATTTTACCTATTTTCCGATTCTAGGTAGAATCGCGCTTTTGACTGCATTGGTTGCTGGAACGATGCCGTTTACTTCTCCTTTCGGCTGTACTTTACTTTTAATCCAAGCTTTGCAATGTTTCCTTTCCAAGCTACCTAACAAACAACAATGGAGCTTGTCATGTAATGACTTTGTGTTGCCTATAAGAGGCAGAGTTTCAATGAGAAAGACAGGTTTTTAGGTTTTTCATTTCACATCCAACTTCTTTGTTAGTTTCTGGGGAAGGCAGTCCACCCTCATACTTGGGAAGGACTCAAGGATTCTAGAGATAATACCTAGTATAGCATAGCAAGACCACATCCAAGTACAGGGTGCTTAGATATGACGGAGACCAAGGTGTGCCCTCAGACTTAACACAACATGAGCATTGCTTCTACTTTTGAAAATGAGAGGAACAAAACAAAAAAATAGCTTTCCATCACAAATCTATCCATGACTATTGATAACCATATAGCCCATGCATTCAAAAGCTAGTTTTAAAGCCTACGCTTTTATGCTTTGAACTTTCTGAATATTGTAGCTTTTGTTCCAAAAGTTTTTTACACCAAAAGCCCAAGTAAAGGCCTTAGAAGCTAACTTTGGAACCTATTTTTAAGGCTTTTGATATCCGGGAATTAGACAATATTGCAGGGTTTGCAATGGTTTGGTTCGAACGTAAATAAACCAAACCTCGAGAATTACAATCCAAAAGTAAGAAAAAGACCAAGAACTAAACCGATATTATATTGGGTCCACTGTGGTCCGATTTAGTTCAGTCTAAATATCAATAATGATCATTTTCCCTTAGTTACATATCATCGGACCAAGGGCAAGACCGCATTATATTCATTTGATTTGGTGCGGTCTCTAAGTTACTTTGGTCCAGTGCAGTCAGCGGCGGAGGCAGCATTTCAAACCACCCCTGTCCTCGTTTCATGAGTAAACATATAAGTATTTAATTTAGAAATATTTAATAAAAAATAAAAAATAATTAAAAATATTATATCCAAATAATTCGTTCATAGATTGAAAAGAACCAACTATACAATCATTGTTTTCATAAACAACCACGAAGGGATTTCATATCGTGAAAGAAACGCAAAAACATTCGTCGTCTACACTATTAAATAAGTCTTTTTCAATGTATCTCACTAATATAGGCTAAATTACACGTTTGATCACTCAAATTATACAAATCTTTCATTATTGTCACTCGAATTACTTTTCTTTCTGATTCTCCACTAACTTTACGAATCATTTCACTTTTAGTCACTGGCCGTCAATCTCCGTCAGACTTCGTTAACACCGTTAATTTTTTGCTAATGTGGCAAACGGAGCTGCTGACTGGAATGGCAGAAGGCTGAGATGAAATTTTTATTCAAAACAAAAATTAATAAAAAAAATAAAACACTCATCACTTTTGGTCCTCCGTCCCCCTCTGCTTCTTGTACTCCTCCTTGCCTCCCCTCAGCAAATCCCTAAAATCAAACCAGGGTATCAAACTTCAGGAGGCTAAGTCGCCAAGACCAAATTAACCAGGTAGATGACCATTTAAGAGGCATTGAGAGGTTTCCACCCATCCAAGCATAGATGTCTAGGTTAAAAACTAAAAACTCATTTAAGTTCTTGACAGGGGATGGTAGAAGGCTCGTCAAATTCTAGTTGTTGGATAATCTCAAAGGAATTAATACTTACATTTCAACTAGAAACTAGATTGAGAAGCGGGAGAGGGTTTCTTCGATCACAATGGAGGGAGGAAAATATAGCGGCGAAACGGCAAGCCGGTAACTGAAGTGGTTTTCCTTGCCGCCGGCCGCCGCGTACTTGCAATGTACCAGCAGCTTCTTCCGATCCTCGCTCAACCCGTTCAGCACCCTTACTGTCACCGCCTCGGCCGCGGGGATCGCCATCAACACGAAACACAACAAGCATGAGGTAACGGTGGGAGGATATGATTTCGTAACGCGACGTAGGTGTTTGATTTGGGAGGTTGACCACTTTTAGGGGTTTAGATGAATGGTCGGTGTTTGATAAGTACCAAATCCCACTACTTATCGATTCCCCCAACCAAATCTAACTGTCTCCTCCTTCAATTCTCATCTCCACTTGTGGGCCGTACATCATCCTACAAAACCCATCCCCGTTGACCGATTTTAGGGATTTGTAGAGGGGAGGCGAGGAGGAGTACGAGAAGTAGAGAGGGGGACGGAGGGCCGACGATGATGAGTTTTATTTTTATTTTTTTGTTAATTTTTTAAATAAAAAATTCCATCTTAGCTTTCTGTTAGTCCCGTCAACATTTCTGTTTGCCACATTAGCAAAAAGTTGACGGTGTTAGCGGAGACTGACGACCAGTAACTAACAGTGAAACAATTTGTAAAGTTAGTGGTGAATAAGAAAGAAAAGTAATTTGGGTAGCAAACGTGAAAGATTTGTATAATTTGAGTGACCAAACGTGTAATTTAGCCCACTAATATAGCATTAGCAAATTGGTCGCCAAATCGACTTGGAAACTTGTTCTTAATATAACTCAAAGCTGAAAATGCTCTTTCTTCACTTGCAGTTGTAATTGGTAAAATCAAAACTAGTGAAATTGCCGCTATCGCTAGAGATCTGATTAGGTCTTTATTGCAATTGAAATTTCATTTATAGTATAATAAATTAATTTTATGTCAATTTAGGAACAAATAATGAGTTCTGTTGTAGTGACAAAATACTCTAATACTACCTATAGGTGTTGTGTTCCATCACCAATATACATATATATGACGTATTTTTGTTCCTTCGAAATTTACCCCTTTCCCGGGACAAGGCCCCTGCCTCCGCCTATGGGTGCAGTCCGCTCTGAACAAATTATTGCACATAGTACCATATTGGGTCCGGCTTGGTTAAGTTTTGGAGGTCAAAGGAGGAAAAAATTATGCAGTTTTATTTGTTTTTTAGTAGATTTATCCTTTTAGTATTTCCTTCTAAGAATTCCTCATCCAATCATTCAATTCTTTATCACTTCTCCTTCATTCTCATCTTTTCTCTACCTCTAATAAAAGCACACTCCGCATTCAGATTCTGGTCATCCCTAATTCGTTGTCACTTCTCTCCTCCATTCTTGTCTTTTCTCTACCTCCAAAAAAAGCACACTCCGTATTCAGATTCCGGCCGCCAACGCCATTTTTCATTCTTGCAACTCGCACCCCACCCCTATGACCACGTTGTTGTCAAAGTTCATCTCCCTTAGCCTCCCATTTGCCGCCACTGTCACTTATTAATGAAGTTTGCCTACAGCCCTTATAGCTTCATCATTTGCTTTTGATATTCTCTTCTCATATTTTTTTCCAGAAAGCATGAGGAAGGCGGTGAATGCTTGTGCAAAAGTCCATTAATTTAGTTCCTGCATGTGAGAGTGATCTTTAATATGTGAACTAGTACTCTTATTTGTTTATATTTTTCAAAATAAAAGTTATGCTTCGAAAATTTCTATCAAATTTATAGAATGTTTAACAACTTACGCTTTTATGCTTCATGTTGGTGCTTCCGCTTTTACCCATCATTTCACTTTTACATAGAACCTATACTTTGACTGCATTGCACATATAGCTATAAGTCACATCCTGGGGATCATTTTTAAATGCTCCATCACAGTGACTCTATTTATTGATTATTTGGTGGTGAACTAGACGTTTCTTAGGATGCCACAAGCTTGTTGCACAGGGATCGAGTCTGGGTGAGGGAATTGGTTTAGTTGCTCCAGAGAAGGTTATTGGATGCATTGGTGACTATTGTTGTAGACTAAGGAGAGACGTTGCATGATACTTTCTCATTCCTGCAAACCCAAATCGCCCACAGTAGAGAGATGATGATCTTTCTTCTTTCAATCATCTTCTCATTCATTAATCTCGACACAATTTTTGCATACAACAGCGAAAAGGAGAAGCTCTCCGGAATGGAAGCTTGCAAGCTCGTAGTAATGGCTATCAAATCCACCATCGTGGGTACCCGACTATTTCTAATCCAATCAACGCGAGAAGTTTCTCCATTAACTACATATGGAGTAGGTATCGGTAAAATCTAAAAAAAGCTTGACGTAGATGTAGGGAATCCAAAAGAATTCATAAAAAAAATTTCCAAAAGTACCATCGTTTAAAAAAATTTACAAAATTACCACCCAACCCAAAAAATTTACAAAACTACCACCATTAATCTAAAACCGCACCCCGAAGGGGCAATTCTCTTTCAAACCACGCGAGGAAGGAGCGGTTCCCAAATAAACCGTATGCTGAGCCTGCGGTTTCTTTATATGGGCAAACCGCCATATAAGGAAGCGGTTTCTATGGCTTCCCTAGCACAAACCACATGCTCGGGGTGCGGTTCTTTGTCGGCAGCAGAAACCTCACCTCAAGCATGCAGTTTATCATGTCGAGGCACAAACCGCACCCCCCTGTGGTTTATGCCTCGTCCCCATTCATGCAGGAGGTTGCGGGGGTGGGGGCTGCATGGAAGACTGAAAACGGCTCCCCCCTGCATGTTTTTTGTATCAAATTTGCCTATAAAAGGCAGTCCCGAAACACTCAAATCTTCAATCCTCTCCTTCTTCTTCTTCTTCTTCTTCAAATTTCATTTGTGCACCATTCATTTTCTGAGTTTTGCGATTAACGTTAATTCGTAAGTTTGTTTTGTATTAATTTTTATTATGATTTGTGATTTTTATGGTAATAACTTAATTACGGTTTTATTGCAGATGGCATGGATGGCACGAGAAGAGTTGATCGTATAGTGTATCGATATCCAAACAGACATGGCGGGTCGTTGTGGAATAAGGAATTTCTCATTACCACTCAGGCGGACGTTGATGCCATGCTCCAATTTTTTATGACCAACAACATTAAACAGGCAGAGATGTTCGTTTATACCGAGGCAGTCGAAGGCGGTGGAGATCATTCTGGAGATGGCCAAACTTATGATATCCACGGTGGGAGTGGATTATACGAATATAATCCCCACCAGGAGTACCAAGACCCTCATTCATACCAGGAGTATCATGATGGAGGTGGAGGTCATCATCAATCATTCTCATCATATGAAGAAAAAGCCCAACGGTACCATGGAAACCAACAAGAAGGCTACCAGTACCAACCCGAGTACAACTTCTACCAAGGCGGTAGTAGTTACCACAACTACCCTTACGGAGCTGATGAAGGTGCATTTCATGATCTGGATCAGATGGAAGATGTCCTCCCAATTCCAGTTAGTGACCCTGAGGATGGCAATGTTAGTGCAGACAGTTTCGATCCTCTTGAAGGTGCTGATGATTCTGGCCCAGATTCAGACGCAGATGGTGCTGAGGTGTCTCGTGACCGTGTACCTATCACGTACTACAATCACATTCCAAATGAAGATTTGTATGTTGATGCCGACATGGAGCCACTAGAGGTGCCAGTATGGGGTCCGCTCACTGAGTTTACGAAGGGCCAACAATTTGGAACGAAGAATGAGGTGCGGCACGCTATTGCCACTGAAGCAATCACTCGGAGTTTTGAATGACACACAACCCATTTCGACACGAAGAGGCTCATGGTTAGATGCCAAAATCATCACGAGGGATGCAAGGCTAAGGTCCGGGCCATCAAGAGCAAGAGAGTCAACCATTGGGTCATATCCCATGCGGTGAACACTCACACATGTGTGTCATCCATAACATTCCAAGGCCATCAACAGTTGAAATCCAGGGTGGTTGTCTATCAAACATCTAATTGAGCAAGAGCCCGATCGGAAGATTAAAACCATCATCGCTGACATTTCTAATCGTTATGGATATATTATTAACTACAAGAAGGCGTGGCATGGAAAACATAAAGCAATGACCGCCGTGTTTGGTGACTGGGCAGAATCATATGCATTCCTTCCCTGATTGATTTTGGCATTGGAGGTGTCTAACCTTGGCACTGTTTTCTCGCTACCGAGATGAAGAAATCCTGCCATCGGAGCCAGGTAACAAATGCCATTTCAAGCGTCTTTTCTCGTCATTCAAGCCATCTATTGATGGTTTTCCATTCTGTATTCCTGTGATTCAAGTGGATCGAACATTCCTTACCAGCAAGTACAAGGGGTACTCTACTCATCGCCAGCGGAGCAGATGCAAACATATGTGTCTTTCCATTAGCCTTTGCCATTGTTGAGGGTGAGAATATCGACAACTATGGATGGTTCTTCATAAAAATTAAACTCCACATCACTAGGCGGACGAACCTAACAATCATCTATGATCACCACGTCGGGATTAGAGCTGCCATCTTAGGCTTAGATCCAGCCTGGAAGTGGTCACAGAGATTGTGCATACGGCACTTCAAGAGCAACTGGGACCATCATTTCAAGAGGAGGAAGCTTACTGGTAGTCTATGGTGGACCGGTAAGCATTCTATTTCATTGGTGAAGTATTTTTCTTCACACTACTTTAGACTCTTTATAAAGAGATGCATGCCTAAGGAGAAGAGGTTTAAGCGATCATGTGGTCTTCCCATCTCCTAGAAAAATCGGGTATTAAGAGATCCTCAGATCCCCCCTTTTTCTGTCAAAAAGGTTGTGTTTCTAAGGAGATGTATACCTCTCCTAAGAGTCTAACGAGTGTACTTGTATTGCTTTATTATTGAAAACGCTTAATACGGCTAAAGACTTACCTTACGCTTCTTTTTTTATATTCATCAGCTATAGCCTACCAGGAGAAAAAATTCAAAGACAAGCTGCAGAAGATCCGTGATCTAAGTCCTAAAGGTGTGTTGTGGTTGGATCAACATGACCTAGTCATGTAGACTTTTCATAAAGACGGAGGAACCAGGTGGGGTATTGCCACAACAAACTCAAGTGAGAGTATCAACAATGTCTACAAGGGAGTTCATGCACTGCCAATCTCTAACATTGTGGAGATGACTTTTTGGAAAACGAACCATTGGTTCGTCAATCGACTCCATTGGGATGAAAAGAGCGAGGCACATGGTAAGGTGCACTCTGATAAAGCACAAAAATTATGGAAGAGGATAACAAGAAGAGCTCTCGGCACACTGTAACCGTTATGAATCACAATGCTGATGAGTTTTCAATCGAGACTGGGCACTGGGAGGATGGGAGACGTGGGGGGGAATCACCATAACGTTAAGATCAACTTCAGGACAAAACAAGGAGATTGCTCTTGCAAGAACTATCAGGGGAGAGTTTTCCCTTGTTCTCATGAAATGGTCGTAATCAAGCATAGGAGCAAAGACCCCCGTTACTTCGTTAGTCCATACTTTAACATCGATTCACTCAAAAGCTCGTATGGAAGGAGTTTCTGTGCTTTGCCGGATGAAGCTTACTGTCCAGTGTATGAAGAAAAGGTCATAATCCCACCAATCGGACTACTGCGTGAGACAGGTTAGCCTAGGGTAACGGGGATTCCCAACGAGATGGATCAAATATTCAGACCACCGCGAGGGCCACGTCGGTGTTCCATCTGCAAAGTTCTAGGGCATGATAAACGAAAATGTTAGGACCAATTGGTCCTCAAAATTCAGGGCGTGACGTTGTAGTCCCATATATGGGTGCATATATCATCATTATCATTTTTCATACATTGTTTTCATATTATGTAGTTGGCTTTTGTGTGAGTTCAAAGCCATTGTATTTTTGCATAATCGCCCTAAATTTGTCAAGTAGATTCCAACTGGGCAACTTAAAACAAAATAAACACACCACCAAATAAAACACGACTTGAAAATGTCACAACTTGCTTACCACAAAAAATGGCACCACAAGTAGACCACATTATGCATTCGCTCGCCTAGCCACCCTTTGCTTCCTTGTACGATGAGCGACTGGTCCTTGTGGTGTAGCAGTGGTAGGGCGCTTGTTCGTGCTATGGCGACGAGGTGCAGTGCTTGGTGTCCCATCCGTGTGCGGATGGCTCCCATCCACGCTCATACGGTGGGGAGTGGTAGGACATTGAAACTGAGGTCTTGGCAAAGGCTGGAAGTCTTGAGGGGCACTCGTGGAGGAACCGTCTTGCCAAATAGTCGATGATGTGCAGTCATGGTACATACTCGGACAGGGATCGTACTACCAACTCATTCGGGGCTCGTAGCGAGGACTCGAGTCGTATTGCCAACTCGGTTAGGGATCGTACTGCCAACTTGGCCTAGGATCGTACTGAGCATTCAGGCTCGGGCGTAGTACGTACTCGGACGTGGATCATACTGAAAACTCGATCGAGGATTGTACTGAGTACTCGGCTTGTGCTCATACTTGAAACTCGACCGGGGATGTTGCTGAGTACTCGCCCATGGTACACTTACAGCGGAGTAGGCACGCGCCACACTTCAATTTGCTTGATCTCGGGCACATGAGGTCGGTCCCTAACAGTCTTGTTTTGCCTTCTCTCATATGGTGGGCCGAGTTTGGGACATCTGGCGTTACCTCGGGTGTAGGCACAGGGGGCATCGGCGGGTATCTGTGATGGTCACACCCACGTGCTCTAACACAGCCTAGAAAAATGTTCGTTATCTTACGGATGATCCCCACATCTTGCCTATGAAAATCATTCATAGTACGAGTTATACTGTGAATACGCTTGAGCCCATCAACCTAAACAAAAACAATTAACAAATTTAGTCATCTTAAAGTAATTATATATAGCCTACCAATTTGACACCAAAAGTTAAATAAATGAATTGATGTAACTAAGTTAAAGGAATGATATATAGCACCGTCCGTCGCACCATCAAGCGTCATGTATCGTAAAGATTGTCTTTGGTATGTTTCCAAGTATGGGTCATGATATCCCATCCGCCCCACCATAGTTGGAGTGACAATATCTTCATCTTGCCTAGTACTATTCCAAATCTTGATGTAGTCCCTCAGCTCATGCGTCCAATTAGTAGCCCCTTGGCGACCATCTTTCCCGTGGTAAGCCCTTTGACTAGCAGGGACCTCAATGGGCATGCATTGCTCACGTCCGAATGGCCGTAAGCATCGATTCGGCAAGTACCACTCCAATATATGGTGACAGATGAGTGGGACTCGCGTGGACCATTGATGTGGATGCAACGGGAATTTGTGGAAGTGATGGTGAATGACGTTATCCAGATACGGGTCGAAAACGACCTACCATGATGGATACCAAATTGAACCATTAATAAAAATATTAAACAAATTCGAAAATATCAAAGAAAGTAGAAGTAGTATGATTATTACCTCTGCTTCCCAAAGATGATCCATCCTCCTACGATACTCTTCTAGTTTGTGCTCAACAAGGTTGTCGCTTGTTGTTTGACCAAGCCACCTTATTCATGGATCAAATTATTCAATGTTAAAACATACTAACAATTCAACTACAAAATAATGAAGTAGTAAAAAAAAGGAGTGGAGATATGAGTGGGATCAGAGAAGTTTACCTACAACCATAAGTGTAATATCCCAAACCTTTTCTCGACGAAGATATTGTCCGCTATGGGCCCACACCCTCACGGTTTTCAACTTGGGGAACAATTCAAGGTGACTTCCCATAAGGTCACCCATTCTTGTTGTACTCCACGCTGAGCACGTTTAACTTCGGAGTTCTCACAAGAACTCCTCCGTTTCACCCCCAAAATGCATCTTGTCAGTTAAGGCTGGTTTCCTACTTATGAGCCAGGGATCTCTCCCGTGCTTTGCCGTTATGCGATTCGCCTAAGGTGTTAATACACCCCACCCCCTTGGGACTCAACACCCTCGTTGAGGTTTGCCCCGCCATCGTTCAAGAGGGACGCGAAGAGGCTCTGATACCACTTGTAACATCTGGAACCTTTTCCCGACGAAGATATTGTCCGCTTTGGGCGCAAACCCTCACGGTTTTCAAATTGGGGTGAAATTCAAGGTGACTTCTCACAAGGTCACCCATCCTTGTTGTACTCCACACTGAGCACGTTTAACTTCGGAGTTCTCACAAGAACTCCTCCGTTTCACCCCAAAACGCGTCTTGTCAGCTAAAGCCGGTTTTCTACTTATGAACCATGGATCTCTCCTGTGCTTTGTCGATGTGGGATTTGCCTAAGGTTTTACAATAAGCTTCGAGTCTTAGGGGATGGTCGAGTTCCCATTCCTTGTCGGGTTTTTCGACCGGCGCAATCCATTGCAGATGCTCCCAAGCTCAAAATTGGACGATGAACACCACCCCATCAATATCACTCACCCCTTTCCCACTTGTATTACAGAGGGAGCAGTAGATATTAGCTAGGCAAGCGGATGTCCAGGTCAGGTTCCCCATAGAATCCCAATCTCCAAGGATGATCTTCAACCATCCATTGATGATTAAGTTGTTGGATTTTTTTTGGGGAAGAAAACTCCACTGATCATGCCAATGAGGTAGACACGTGCATAAATTTCCTTGTCCACGTTTAAACTTTCCGCCGTGAGGGGAATGCTTTCATCATCAGGGTTGTGCTTACGCTTGATCGCCGCTATCAACCAAGTGATGGAACATTGGCCCTTGGTATATGGTGGATGACCCTCCTCATCATGTTCTCCCTTTTCTGGCACTGTCAACCTCGTGGCTGTCCATATCAAATGCTGCCAACCGCTCATATTTCCAACTTTATCTGGTGCATGAAAGTCCGTACACACAACATCGCCATTGATGGGCAAATTAGTCAGGATGGCGATATCCTTCAGTGTTATCATCATCTCGGCTTTAAGAAAGTTGAAGCAATGTGTCTCCTTCCGCCACCTCTCCAACAATGTTGTGATGAGTTGGCGGTCGATCTTTATCCCATTAAAATGCCTAATCGAATCCAACTTTACCGTTTTTAGAAAGGGAAAGATGACGTCGTTCCATGCGAGCACATCGCTCATACCCCTATATCGGACTATATGGTATGCATCCTAGCGAATCATTTAAAGTTACCATAAGTTTATTATTTATAACAAATAAGTCTATTATAAGACTCTTTAGACTCTTATGAGAGGTATACATCTCCTTAGAAACACAGCCTTTTTGACAGAAAGGGGGGGATCTGAGGGTCTCTTAATACCCGATTTTCCCAGGTCATGGGAGGATCATGTGATCGCTTAAAGAGTCTAAATAAGTGTAAAATTATATTATTCTCAACAATTGAAAACGATCAGTACGATTAACAATTAACAAATTCATTTTACAATCCACTTGAACGATGATTAACAATTAACAAATTTATTTTACGTTAACAAAATAAAAATTGACAAATGATAATAAATTATATGTACCTTGTGATCATTCCAAACATCCCTTGAACGATGATTATCTTGGTCGTATAGCATAGATGGATCAATCGGTCCTTGATCAACATAATATCTTCGATTATATATATCCACGTCCTCCCCAACCTACGGTAGCATAAAAACAACATAAATTAGTATACATATTAAATAAAAACAATTATAACAACAACAAAATTTAGGTAAGATGAGTACGTACCGCTTGATAGTCATCATAATAAATACCCTCTTCTTCGAAAACATCCACCATTTTTTTAAGGAAGCCGGACACGGATTCGACAGGTTTCGAAGGAAAAACCAAAGAAAAGTTTTCTGATGGCAGTTCAGACTTAGCTGCAACTAACAGACCACTATTTCCTAGATTTTTGGGTGGAGAGGGGGATGGGTAGAGTGATAAACTTAGAGAGAGAGGGGATTGGTTTTGGTGTGAAGAAAATAAAAGGAGGGGGTATTTATAGTGTATGGACCGCGGATGCGCGGGTTAGGTTTCAATTTGTCCAATTGTTTTTTTTTTTGTTGACGCGGTTAATGCGTCGGGTGGTCTAGTTATTGGTTGGTCCCCCGGAGTTGATGCTCTGGTGTTGAGTCATTCAAATTATCATTTGTCTGTTCGTATTAATGAGAATAATTTTTCGAATGTGGTTGTGGGTGTGTATATTAGTTGCAATGATACTATCCGCGAAATGCAATTGAACCAAATCCAAATCTTGTGTAAAGAAATCCAACTACCTTATGTAGTGATTGGTGATTTCAATTCCATTCTATCTGGAAATGAGAAAGATGGTGGGAACCCTTGGAACCCAGCCAGCTCCGCTGCCCTTATAAACTTTGTGACTGACCTGGGGCTTCATGATGTGGGGTTCCAGGGGGATCAGTTCACATGGTCCAATAGGCGGATGGGGCAGGCCTGTATTCGGGAAAGGCTTGATCAGGCGTTATGCTCCCAGTCTTGGTTGGAGCGTTTTCCGGAGACTTTGGTGAAACATCACACAGATTAAGGGTCGGATCATAGAGCTTTGCTCTTATCAGATAAACCTTTCATTATACAGAGTCGACCCCTGTTCCGCTTTGATGCTCGTTGGACGGATAATCCAGAAGTACGGGCTATGGTTGTGTATGTGTGGAATGAGCATATCCATGGGTCCCCCATGTTTAGACTACGGGGGCGATTAAAACGGTTACAGCATCTTCTTTATGATTGGAGTAGGCCTGGCACGACTAACTCCCTCTGGAATATCAAAACGCTTCAAACGGAGATTGAGCAGGTAAAGATCTCAAATCCTATTTATTGGAATAGGGTGAGGGACCTTGAAACTGAGCTTAGTCGCCAATGGGAGGCGGAGGAGATTTACTAGCACCAGAAATCAAGAGTCCGATGGCTAAAAAAGGGGATAGTAATACTTCTTACTTCCATACTGTCACACGGACGAGGAGAAAAAGAACTTTGTGGCAGGGCTGCGTAATGGGGCGATGAATGGGTAACGGATGAGAAAGGCAAGTCGGATATAGCAGTTGATTTCTTCAAGCTTCTCTTTACATCTGAAAATCAGATTGAGAATATGGAGGCTCGGGTGTTGGATCTTCCGATTGCACAGACAGTTACTGAGGAGATGAACTTAGTACTGACTGTTGATGTGTTGGCATCGAAAATCCGTCAAACAGTATTCTCGATTGGCCATTGAGACGTTGATTAAGTCAATTGCGTTCTCCTTACCGCTGCATGTAATTTCCTGCTTTAAACTTCCGCTTGCTCTCTGTCGTATTCTAGATAAACATGTTGCTAGATTTTGGTGGAAGGTGGAAGGGGATCGTCGGCGGGTGCGATGGATCTCTTGTTGAAACTTATGCACAAGTAAAAATGATGGGGGGATGAGTTTTCGACGATTTGAACACTTCAATCAAGCTCTCATGGCAAAGATTGGGTGGTGTATCCTTAATGAGCCGGATTCCCTCCTGGCCCAGATTTATAAGGGTAAGTATTTCCCGAAAGGCACTTTCCTCACGGCGACTGCTCGGTCCCGTCCTTCGTGGGGGTGGTAGAGTATTCTTCATGGTCGTGCTCTCCTTCAGCGAGGACTTCGTTGGCAAGTGGGGAATGGTGTACAAATCTCTATTAAGAACTCTAGCTGGGTTCCGGCGTTTCACCCTCACCCTCCGATGGGTAAGCCTCAAGTATTACTGGAGGACTCTGATCCAAAAGTTGTTGAGCTAATTGATCCTGTTGAAGGGGATGGAGCGTCAGGCACTTCAGCAGATGTTTCCTCCGGAAGTTAGTCGAGAGATTTTGGCAATTCCCCTGCCTAGTAGTATGAGTATTGAGGATAAGGTAGTATGGCATGATACGTGTGATGGTGTGTTTACTGTCAAATCTGCCTATCACCTAGCGGTGTTGATGGATAAACAGGTGGGGGCATGACACCCCCGAGTGAGTTGGATGGATAGAGAAAGTTGGATGAAAATGTGGGCCCTTAAAATGCCGCCTAAACTTAAGTTGTTCCTCTGGCAAATCTTTCACCGTATTTTGCCCACCACAGAAGCCCTGATCGAAAAAAGGGTCTAGATATTGCCTCGATGTCCGGTGTGTTGGGTAGAGTCTGAAACGATGGAGCACCTGTTTTGGGAGTGTCCAGTCACTGAAGCTCTCTGGGCTCATTCGGAGTTGGAGCATTTGGGCCAAGATCTTACTCGACACACTTTCCCGTTGTTTCTTAAGTGGTGTTTTCTTCGATTGACTCAGCCAGATCAAGTTATGACCTTGGTAGCGCTCCTCTGGCGTATTTGGAAATCAAGAAATTGGGCATCCTTTGAGGGCAAGCAATTCTTGGTTTCCCAGCCGATGCACCAATATCATCAGCAGGTTGAATGGGTGTCGTTGCCTGAGGATCGATTGATCGTGGACCGGGTTATCTCTCAGCATCATCAGGGCGAGGAGGATAGGGCTCTTCTTGTCTGTATGTGGGATGGTGCGGTCTGTGCTGGCTCCCATTCAGCGGGAAGGCTGATTGTTAAGGATAGAGGTGGGACTGTGGTGGCAGCGAAAGGGTTGGTTTTTGAGGGTGTGGTTGACCACCTGGTGGTAGAGACTATTACCCTGCATGAAGCTCTTAATTGGTGTCAGGGCCTTGGCGTCCCTCAAGTGAGGTTTGAAGGTGATGCAAAGGTACTCATTGACAAAATAAATGAAAGGATGCGCGGGATAGTCGGGTAGGAGCTATAATCGCGGAGATTTTGAGCCTGCTAGGGGTGAATAGTGGTTTTTATGTTCGGTTCGTCGATCGGAATAGCAATAGGGTAGCCCATTCAGTGTCTAGAAAGGCCCTTTCTTTGTATCCGGCCTCGTGTCGTTTGTATGATTTTCGTGTCTGGGTTGGATCCAGGGTGTAACTTCTGAGTTTATCAATATATTTATGATTATCTTTGGTTAAAAAAAAATAGTGTATGGACCGCCTAGTGGGGGAGTGGGGGGTGGTTTGGTAATTTTCCAGAAAAGAAAACCGCGCCCCCGCCCACGATTTTCTCTTCCCGCAGCGTAAACCGCGCCCTCAGGGAATGGTTATTGCGACCAAACGCGGATCACTTCGCTGGGGTACGGTTCGCCGTCGGATCGCCTCCCTATCGCACGGTTGCATGGGCCGCCAAGTGGTGGTGCGGTTTTCCGGCTGCCCTAGCGGGAACTGCTCCTTCCCGCACGGTTTGAGGGAAACCGCCCCTTCGAGGTCCGGTTTTAGATTAATGGTGGTAGTTTTGTAAATTTTTTGGGTTGCGTGGTAGTTTTGTAAAAAAAAAATTTAAACGATGTTACTTTTGGATTTTTTTCATAAGATGTAGCGGGTATGATTTTAGACTTCCCTGACCCATACCCATACCTGCCCGACCAATACTATTTCTTTGTATATAAAAATATAGGGATCATAATTTAATTTCTCAATGAAAAGAACGGTAATTCAAAAAATAAAGAACCGAAATGTAACTGAGTGGTCACTCAAACCAAACACAAATTTATTTCCCTCCATTCACTCTTTCACTTCTTTTCCTCTGTTAACAAGATTATGCTAGTTATTTATTGATTAGTACAATGTATCAAAGTTTGAGATCAATGATTTGGTTAGTATCGTACTTTTTTATGGATTAATAAATGTTTTAAGATTGAATGTTTTTAATTCGTATTAAGAATGATTGTACTTGTAGCTTTGTTGATTTCATGACTTATTATGTCCATTTCGTGTAATAATTGTCGGTCAGCATGTCGAATTCAAGGTATTGTCATATTGTATATCCGCGCCAGGTATTACCCACGAGTATCTGAAAAGCATAGGTACAAGGACAAGGTAACCCCCACCCCCCTCCCTGGGGCGGTATGTATGGTTAATGGGGCAGGTGTAGTTTGGTTATATGGGAATGGGGATGTGGATGGTTTAGGTTAATTAGCAACATTGTCGTCCATAGTTAGTAAAATACGGTACGGGAAAGTTACATATAAAATATGTACAGGTATTTCACTTCATTTCTAAGCTAATGTTACGTTTAATAGTACGTTAATAGTCATAAATATATAAATTTAATTATTTTTAAAATAATTAAATATATAAATAATAGTAAAGTTAACATTTTTATTTATTAAATACATATATTAAACGTGTTATACGAGTTTTGTGTGTGTTTAGTACGAGAGCCATCAAATGAACGGAAAAAAAATGAAACCACTTGACAATAATACGAATATGAAAGTATTAAATGAATAAAATACATATGGATACATATACGTGTATTAAACGGAATATTTACAAACTATTTACCAGTTCGATATTGGCAGGTTCAATTCTATTTTAATAGCATTGATAAAAACACTGCTTAACGTTCAAACCGGACATACAAATCCCTCATATGGTTAAATACGGGGTTGTAACGATGAAGTATTAATCAAAATCTCACAGTAACCCCTAAATTCCATTGTATTAACTCTAAATAATGATTGTATGCATGAAACGAGAATTACACTCGAATGCAATCCCTACCTCTACCTTATCTTTCTCCTCTTTTTCTCAGTATACAGAAAGCAGAACCTACATTGTCTTAGTATAAAGGAAATGCAAGGCTGGGACTTATATATGCAAACCAAATTGAAAACAAATGTTTGCTGCTGAATCAGCTCAATTCAACCATGCTTTGAAACAACTATCCTACAAATCGGTGCTGCTTTCTGATCTAAAAACTCTGAAAAGAGCCATCCTGAATATAACAAATACTAGAGATTCTTTAAATCTTAACTCTTAAGTTCATCAACTGGGTAAATCAATCACATTACGATTAACAAGGATGCCGAATCTGACTTTAGAGAATTCACCTTATGCTTCTCTAACTAGTATAGATATATAAAGATTCACAGTGGTGCGATATCAACGAGTATACATAAATGAAACATAAAATTAAAATCAAATGAGGGAAACAAAATTAGACCCCTCGATCAATGCCTAGGATTAGGAACAAACCCCACCTTTTCCCCATCTAGATTCTCAACCTGCAAACAAAAAGGTTCCACAAGAAACAACTCAGAGCTTGTTGGCATTTGTCAATCTGATTCAGACGTAAGTAGAAAGGAATCCCACTTCATCTATAGAGTTATGATATAGAGAAGTTATACCTGAGGCATTCAATCCCTGGTTAGGTTATCACTTGATGGTGTCTTCTTTCCATCATATCGCTGTTGATGAGAGAAAATAACCAAACTAACTGTCAATCATCTTTACTCTTTGGTGCACAAACGGCAGCTGATTATTCAGAATTAGATGCATAGATCTAGTGAACAATGGATGAAACTGCAACATACCTGCTTGCCGAAAGAAAAAGGAACATATTTGTATTTGACCATATGCATAATCTGTCTTCTCATTGTGAGGACAAACAGCACGATCCAGTAGAATAGAAGTATAGGCCAGAACACAGGCACATCAAACACAGCGAAGAATGTCATGAAAAACGCAATGCAGAAAGCCTTGGTAATAGAGTACCTTCATGGACACAAAAGTAGGAATAGGAGAAATCAATACATAAAAGTTAACCATAATTCCAGAAAACAAATAATGATGGCGGGGTTAAACTTCTCCCTCATCTAGAACTACAAATGTGAGCACCTGTAATGAATCAATCAGAAGAAGGAATCGAAGAACAGAAAGCCAGACATGGAAAAGCAAAGACAACTAGAAGATATTTGGCTATCTCAGATTAATTTCCACAATGTAATCAGCTGATTATAAGTCTACCAGCCACCCAGACCGAATCCCTCTGTTCAAAATGGGTAAGGGTTAAATATCCAATGCAACAAAATACCCCCAAAGAAAGCTACAAGTATATTGTTCAACCAAAGAAAGCAATCTCTTTGATGCATTTCCTCAGACACCTAGTATGCAGTTCTATAGCCATGGTAGAAATGGCCAACAAACAGCTGCAAAAGAATCAGAAACAGAAAAGAACCACAATTTCTGATAGGACCCAACATTTCGGCAATCAAAATGCACAGAAGGATACAAAGGAAATCGACGTCGCAGATCAATAACTCGAAGACAGAACCAAAAGAAATAAAGATAAATGAAGTAAACCGTATCAGGAACCCGAACAACACTAAGGCAATGATCATGCCCAATCCTAGGTCAAAGTAGAACGGTAGATGTCACGAGCAAGTTGTACCAGAACTTGAACTCGGGTAGGCGTCGGACGAAGGGACGGAACTCATCGGATCCGCGCGTGGGGAGCGAGGGGCCGTCGCTGACCTCCGGATCAATCTGCGGCGAGAGGAATCCAATCAACAGGTTGAGCATATAGATTCCAAGGCCGTAGGTAACGACGTAGAACCCCTGAACGAAGTAGACACGCAATCCGTAGATTAGAGCGGCCAGGAAGCATCCGATCCACCGGTACCAGATGTGCGGCACCGTCTTGTCCAGCATGTGCTGGTACCGCCGCGTGACGGCGAACGTCCACTGCGAGACGACGGCTGCGGGGGACGACGACAGGGACGCGAGATCATCTCCAGCTAGGGCTCCTCCGCCGCTGGGCTGCTGTGCGTTCTCCATGGCCCAGCAACAACAACAGGCTCTATCTCCCTCTCTCCGTCCCTCTGTAGAGTTCGATTTCCCGATTGAATTACCCGTTCGCCGGCTTTTCTACTTATTCTCCGCCGAGGGTTCGCCGTCTATGGCTCTCCGGAACTAATTCGCCAGGTTGTTAGATGGGGAAATGGTCTTTCTTGAACCTTTGATTTCTTCCATAGGTCTGCTCTTCCAACGATTTTGTGCCGTCGACGTGTCTCTCCTACGGGTCCGGGCTGAACCGTTCGGCCAACATTCAAATTCTATTGCCCATTCGTTACGAAGCCCAAATAGGCCCAGTATCAAAGGGCAGTCCAACTAAAACCAGACGAGCAAGATTGGAACTTCCGCGTTATTTCCTTTTTTTTTTTTTTCTGGAGAAATTCTTCAGTTCAGTTCGTTTTCTCTTCTTTCCTCAAGGCGCAGGATCTAACTGGAGGATTTCAAATTCCTGGTGAGTGTTGTGATTCGAATTGGATGGAATACACTCGCATTCTTTTCCGCCATTGATTCTGCTTGCTTCTTCGATTCTTTTTGGCACTTTGCTTATCGGAGTTTGTTCTTGGATCTCATCCGTCCCGGGATTCGGGGCGGGATAATTCAGAGGCTGAAAGTTTCACGAATCATTTGTTGAACAAGCTGCAACTAGCGCGGCAATGTCGAGAACTTTGAATCAAATTTCTTGAGAGCTTAAGTTCTTAAATTGTTATAGATGGTAGAAGAATTTGAACAATTTGTCAAACCGCATTGTGGTTATTGTTGAATCCGGAGGTTTGGATATTGCTTCTCTGCCGGAAAATCTTGAAATTGGTATCTGTTGTTGTTGCAGAAAATCTCGAACTGGATGCTACGACAGTGAAAGTTATTTCCTAATTGTTATAGTTAATTGAGAGCTACAATCATGATGGATTCAGAATCTGCCGACTCGTCTTCGTCAGCGCAACCTCCTCCTGCTGCAAATCCAACTTCCACTGCAGAGCCTATTGTGATAGCTTCGAATGTCGGTTCTTCTGACAAATCTTCTAACGCTGAGCCCTCGGTTCCAACTGGAACTGCAGGCGATCGTCCTGCTGAAGAACCACGAGCTACAGCTGTGGAATGTAATGATTCTAATACAAGTTTGCCTGCGCCGACGCCGCCACAGGACTCCGTGGCTACAAGTTCTGCTGCTTCCACACTTTCTCGTATTACTAGTGGCATCGGGTTGCGTCTCTCCGCAATGGCTTCTGGACCAGAAGAGGCTTCTCAAAGCAGCGCAACAACAGCTGGACAGGGTGGTGTTCTTGAATCTCTGACGAAGGGCTTAGTCGACTCATCTCGTAGTGCCGTCAAGGCGATCCAGGTCAAAGCTCGCCATGCTGTTTCTCAAAATAAACGCAGATATCAGGTAGCTCCAGCATTTTCTGAAGGAAACTTCTTGTTCTCGTGATAATTTTGCCTATGTGCAATTGCTTGCTGATGTGCTCCTCCGTGATTTTCTGATTGTGCATTCATGAACAATCGGATGGAACATCATCACTTCATAGGAGGGAGGATTTGATTTGGATATGGCTTACATCACTGAGAACATAATTGCTATGGGGTTCCCAGCTGGTGATTTGAGCTCTGGGCTTTTCGGGTTCTTTGAGGTAAGTCCTGTTGCGAGACATGGACACGCAGAATCGAGTAGCTCCTTATAAATTTTCTCTCTTAATAATACATAATTTTTTTTATGTAGGGGTTCTATCGGAATCACATGGAGGAAGTGATAAGATTTTTTGAGAGTCACCACAAGGTAGTTTATGTTCTGAACTCACTTGGTGAACTGTTGGATATTAGTATAACTGGTTTCAGCCTGGTTGTGATGATGAAACTATTTTCATCCACTCACTGTATCGAGTTGAAGTAACTATATGAAATTAAATCATCGCTGGATCAACTTAAATTCACTCTGGGGTACCATTTCCCAAGAGAAATGATAGCAGTAGTAATAGGTTCATTCATGTGGAAATTCATTGATTGTTTGTCTATGCAAGTGTATTAAATACCTCTTGCCATTGATGCAGGGGAAATACAAAGTTTACAATCTATGTGCCGAGCGATTGTATGACGCTGCACGTTTCGAGGGGAAGGTATGGTTACAGTCTTCCTCGTTACTGGCTACCTGTTCACGAAATTTGTAGTTTTCCTTGAAGAAAAAGAATGAAATCTTAGCTTTGAAAAGATGCATTCTCTTTGAACGATCTGCGGGAGAACAGAAATCATATAATAGCTTTGTCATATGTCTGGCTGGGGACTGTAAACCAGTGTTGAAGCTTGTTTTGCTACTGTACTCCGTGGTTCTCGTGAATGGGAGCTCTAGTTCAGGACCAGTCCTCTCTTTATCCATTTAGTTTTATTTTACTTATAGAAAGTGTGCCTTCTTTGGATTATTTGACCAGGTGGCATGTTTTCCATTTGATGACCACAATTGCCCTCCGCTTCAACTCATAAAATTATTTTGTCAAAGTGCATACTCGTGGTTGAAAGAGGATATTGAAAATGTAGTGGTAGTCCATTGTAAAGCTGGAATGGGCAGGACAGGTCTGATGATCTGCAGCCTTCTTCTATTTCTTAAGGTAATATTGTCCCATCTCGTTTCATCAATGATTCGTGGTGTATTTGTTTGGAACGAGGGTATTATGATGTCTTCATCTAAAAAAAATGTAATCCTTTGTTTCTACTGCAGTTCTTTCCAACTGCTGAGGAGGCCATTGATTACTTCAACAAGAAAAGATGCATAGACGGGAAGGCTTTAGTTCTCCCAAGTCAGATTGTTAGTTGGTTTGATTCTTATATTTATTTACATATCTCAAGTACTTTGGATGGTTGATCTCTTCCCTTTTCTGATAAGTGCTCTGATTATTTTGTTGTTGTTTCTCCTTCCAGAGGTATGTCAAATACTTTGAGCGCATTCAGACTTATTTGAATGGGGAAATTCAGCCTGGACGGAGGTCTGTGATTCTTTTGTTACTAATGTTTATAAGTTTGTATGCCTTCGTTTCCAGAAGTTGCTGAACGTGTATTGATCTGATGTAGGTGCATGCTTCGGGGTTTTCGGCTTCACAAATGCCCTTATTGGATACGGCCTTCTATCACCATCTCCAATCATAGTGGTAGGTTGTTCTTCCTTTGTCTTAAAAATTCATCATTTCCATGCTTCGGTTGGTTCAGTTTGTATGTACCGGGAATTCCGTGTTGCATCATGATGGTATATGTAAATGCACATGAAAGTTTAGAATTACTGTACAATGCAGTTTATGATTCCTGAGTAAGTCCGTCAGAAATGAGTCCTTGTTTTGTTATGCTCATTTTTAATGGAAGACTACATCGACAATATACCAGCATATGAAATAGATCTGTATAGTTGTGAAGTCAGGATTTGGAGTGAGGAGGGGCTGAAAAATAGTAAGCTGCCTGCAACAGCTTTACATGATTGAACCTAAATTTTGTATGAAGGAGGGCTATTAGCCCCATCTTACCAGTTTATACTTTATTCTGAAGATATGAACACACACATTATAACCTTGGATAAATATCGAGTAGGTTTAGCCCCTCCTGAGCTACACTTAGCTCCGCCACTGATCTGTAGAAACTCGACACAGTGAAATACACATTGTTCTGCTGCTAGAACAGAACCTTATTTGTTTCTCGTTAAAAATGTCTTATATGTAGATATATAAACGAGGTTTTTACCATTCTTACAGGAGTTCTATTCTCAACAAAAAAACATCCAAAAACCAAGGATTTGATGGTAATCCTTCTTCATTCAAGTCTTTTCGTATCACTCTTCTGATTAATACGTGGCCCTCCAGATCTTGAAAGCTTTTTTAACTAATGTGTGGAACTGTCTGATTCAGCCTGAGGACTTTTGGATCAGTGCCCGAAGGAAAGGAATTGTTGTCTTTGCTCTGCCAGGAGAACCTGGTCTAACCGAGCTGATTGGGGACTTCAAAATCCACTTCCATGACCGTCAGGGGGACTTCTACTGGTTAGTCAACTCTGCTAACCTCAAAATCTACTTCGAAATGCTACTTGCTCCTGAGCCTGCACAATACGTAAGCACATTCCTTATTTCTTGTCTGAAAATAAACCTTTTCTCATCTCTTTTGCGGTTAGCTGGTTGAATACTACGATGACAGAGAACAGGAAAATGTTAACGGGGGATGAACTTGATGGCTTCGACAAGGTAACTACAGATTCGGTCTTTTAGATGCTTGTCAGAGTTCTTTCCCCTGATCGGTAGTCTGCTGTTGAAACTGCATTTCTGCAGAGGAAACTTCCTTCTCCAGGATTCGAGGTTGAGATTGTGATGGTAGACTACGACGGCACTTCACCAGTAACCACAAAGTCCGATCCAGCAAGCAAGGGATCAAACAGTGCTACCGACTCAAGTTCTGCTGCAACAGCGCATATAGGAGGAGCTGCTGCTGCTCCGAAGTCTTCTAATCAAAAGAAAGCGTCAGAGAGGAATGACGAAGACGATGTATTCTCCGACAGCGATGAAGAGGAAACCGAAGCAGCTTCAAAGAGCAAGCAAGGTCAAGCTGCTCAGCCTACTAGTCAAGCGGCTAAATCCACTGCAGAACAAATGAACAACTTGACTCTTGGGACGGAGCACATGAGTCTCGCTAGTAAGGGAATTTCACAGCCAAGTGCAAGCAGCGAGCCACCCGCCAGTCAGAAACAGTCTGCAAGCGTGGAAACGCCTAGGTTGGACTCCGGGGCCAGCGAGATCAAGGCGATGGCTGCTGATGCTTCGGTGTTCACTTTTGGGGACGAAGATGATTTTGAAAGCGATTAAACAATGACAAGTAGGCTCGTTCAGTTTTGGCCTGCAAGCAACCATCTTGGTATGGCCAGGGGCTTGGAAGGTTTGATTAGATGCCAATTGTATTAATTGTTTCTCGAACCTTAGCCCCGAAAGCACTTGTATCAATTTCGTAGTCTTTTGGGGTTATTTGGATGCAAAAGTTGCAAACTGACGAGTTTTAAAACATTTAGGTTGTTGTATGACAATTTTGACATTGATGCGCCTGAGGTTTTTGTTGTTGTTGTAGGGGTGAGCATTGGTGCGGCCGAACCGCAGGTTATTTTGGCTGCATCCCACATTAGACCGTAATTTAATCAGTGCGGTCAAACCAAACCGTCTAAATAAGCGAAACTGCACCGCATATGAGATCACAATGTAATATGGACTATGAATAATTGAATTGACGAATTTGAATTCACTTTCTACACATGATTTTTAATTCTAACACAAAAATTAAAATCCTATCTAGTAATGGTTGAAAATGGAAACAAGTCTAGAACGTTTATGAATGTGGCGTAGTTTCTTTGGAGAAATTTTACAATGCTATATAGTATTGGTGCTATAGGATTTTGCCTTTATGGTACAACTTAAAATTGTACATTTACGTTATGGTACAACTTCATATTGTACCTATACTTTTTGTACAAATTCTTTTATGGTACAACTTGAACTTGTACCTTTATGTGATGGTACAACTTCAAGTTGTAAAGTTGTACCATAACATAATGGTACAAATTGCTTTATGGTACAACCTAAACTTATACATTTAATGTTATTGTACAACTTTAAGTTGTACATTAAAGCACCAATACTATATAGCATAGTAGAAGTGTTCGGTTTCTTTGATGTTTAACTTTAATAAACCTATTTGTTTTGCTATTAGTGTATATTTTATAAGCCAAAATTTTATGAGAATAAAAAGGGGAAAACAAAACAGTACAAAATAAAGCACCTACCAAAGCCGTACTGCTGTATCCAGCTTATATTGAGTATTGACTACAATTAAATCGTACGCAGTCTTCCCAGTTCCCAGGTTACGGACGCTGCATCCAACAAAGCAGTGACACTGCATCCAAATATGCGGTTTGCGGTTTTGAACCGCAACTGTGCGGTTTTGGATTAATCTGACCACGAACCGCGAGCCTCTAAAAATTTAGACCGCATATTAGACCGTAAGTTTTGCGATGAGGTTTGGCTCGACCGCAAAAGCAGTTTGGTGCGGTTTGGTCGCACCAATGCCCACCCCCTATGTTGTTGTATCGGGGCATGAGTTTAACTTTCATGCAATGTTGCTGCATTTTTTACTCATTCTTATTTGAAATTTTACCGGTTGACCTTCAACTCAATTATGAAAATATTGATCTTAAATTTTACATAAATTAAACCAAAGAAAATGTCTATTTCTTCGCGTGCAAAAACTAACATTCTTGCAAAATTCAAAAAACTTTCTCTCTCTTTCTTTCTTCTCTCTTTCTTTCTTTCTTCGCGTGCTCGTAAATTTTCCGATCGATGGCCGCCGCGGGCGGAGCCTCCCAGGGCGCCGTCAGCGGCGGCAGGTCCTGGGCATCTCTGTTCCAAGTTGCTGAAGAAAGTCGGTTGGAGTTTTATGAGCCAGAGTTCATCAATGGGTCTCTCAGAATCCCTAAGTCAGTGGTTGAGGAAGGAGCGAAGCACTGGGATAACAGCTTAGTAGGGCAATTTCAGGTTGATCCTCCCTCTATTTCAGCGCTCCGCTTCTGGGCTACTGGATTTGGGGGAAGGAAGGGGAAGTGAAGGTTTCTATGCTGGAAGACAGGCTGGTGCTGTTTCAATTTCCTTCGGAATTGACTTGTAAATGGGTATTCGAAGGCGGTCCGTGGCATTTTAAGGAGAAGATCATCTGCTTAAGGCGGTGGGTTCCAGGAATCAGAGCTTTAGAGATCAATAATTCGGCCATACCAGTGTGGGTCAAGCTGTCAGGTATTCCTGCGGAACTAGCTTTAAGAGAGGGGTTAGGGAGAATTGCGAGCTCAATTGGTAAGCCGATGTGTATGGATCACTCACTTTCTCAGAGGAGGAAGATTGGTGCGGTGAAGGTGTGTGTTGAGGTGAGTGCTCAGAAACCTTTAGTTGATAAAATCAGTATTACCCCTGATGATATGGACGAGATGTATATTGGGGTTGAGTATTGTGGTTTGCCTAAGTGTTGTTCAGCCTGTGGCGTTTTTGGCCATGATTGCTCGATGCCAGCTAAGGTAGTTAATACCAAACAAGTCTGGAGACCAAAGAGGCAGATTACATCGATGCAGGAGGTTTCACTTCAGATTGTAGCAGAAGTGGAATCAGGGAAGGAAGGGGTGATTGTTGAAAATGCTGGTGAGATAATTGCTGCACAAGGGAAGGAAGTAGGGCAGGATGAAGTTATTGCTGAGAATGTGGGAGGCAATTCTAAGAAGGGCAAGGAAGTAGTAGTGGATTCCACACCTCCAGTCACGCCGAGTGCTCTCCCCTCGCAGGAGGAGTTCAACAAAGTTATCAATGGAGCAAAGTCGAGGTCCCTCCCAAGGAAATCTGTCCCTATACTGAACTCAAATGCTTTTGAACTGCTCTGTGGACGTGACATCAAGTTACAAGCACCTCAGAAGAAACAAGGAGGACGTGAGGGGCTTAGGAGTAAGGGTGCCACTAAGGTGGCTACCAACCATAAATGACTACCCTAATTTGGAATACAAGGGGGTTTAACAGCCCTCTGAAGCACACAGCTGTGCTTAGATATATTAGAATACATAAGGTTTCAATTTTTGCTCTTCTTGAAACTAGAGTACAAAAACAGGATAGTATAGGGAAAATAAGGGAGAAGTTTGTGGGGTTCCAGTTCACAGATAATTACTCAAAAAACAGGTTAGGGAGAATATGGATTGGTTGGAATGATGATGTGAAGGTTCAAGTGCTGAAGGAAGAGGAATGCTTCATTCATTGTCTTGTTGTTGGGCAGAAGGGGTCTCAATTCTTCTTAACAGTAGTATATGGTTCAAATGAGGAGAAGGATAGATTACTGACTTACAAAACTATGGGTCAATGGAAGGTTAAAGGGTTTCCATGGATGATAGGTGGGGACTTTAATGCCATTTTTAGTCCTGCTGAAGCATCAAACCCTATCTCTATTAACACCAGTATGACAGACTTCAGAGAATGGGTTGATCAGATGGAAGTAATTGACCACAAGGCTTGATAGATTAATGGTGAATGAAGACTGGTGTGAACAATTTGCAGATTGTGTGGTAGAGTTCATTCCCCCAGATTTCTCTGATCACTGTGGGATAATGATCACTCCTCATGTTCCAACTAAGAGCTATCCCAAGCCTTTCAGATTTTTTAATATGTGGCTTGATCATCCATCATTCTCAGAAATTCTGCATAACTGTTGGCAAGTTCCAGCCCAGCAAGGTTTATTTGGAGTTAGGAAGAAGTTGACTTCACTCAAATTGGAATTGAGAAATCTTAATAAGGAGGCATTCTCAGATATTTCTGCTCGAGTCAAGGAGAAAGAAGGAGAGCTCAAGAATAAGCAATTGCAAGCTCTTGAACACCCTACACAAACCAGGTTTGAAGAGGTCAATGTAACTAGGAAGGAATACCTTCTTTTAGCCACAGCTGAAGAAGCTTTTTATAAACAAAAATCTCGTGTCAGCTGGCTGGGGTTAGGGGATTCAAACACTGCTCACTTCCACTCCTCTGTCAAAATCAGAACAGCTAAGAAGCAAATAAGAAAGCTAGTTGCAACCAGTGGAGAAGAATTAACAGATGTCCAGGACATAGCAAATGAAGCTGTGGATTTTTATGGTAAACTATTTGGGGTGGTTAACTCTGATGTGAGGGTGGATGATACCATTCTGGAAGATTGTATTCAAAATAGGTTATCTGCTGGAGATCAGAAACTCTTGTGTGAGACAGTTACGGCTCAGGAGATTAAAGCAGCCTTATTTGAAATGAATCCAGCCAAAGCTCCAGGGCCAGATGGCTGGAATACTGAATTTTTTCAGCGTTGTTGGGGAGTGGTAGGGCCAGAAATTACTCAGGGGATTCAGAACTTCTTCACATCAGGACAACTTCCAAGAGGTATGAACTCAGCTTCCCTAACACTTATCCCTAAGGTGCCTAATGCTGATAACCTCTCTGCCTATCGACCTATAGCCTGCATAAATGTGATTTACAAAATCATCTCTAAAGTGATTGCCAACAGACTCAAAAAAGTATTGCCTTCTATTATAAGTAGAAATCAGTCTGCCTTTATCCAGGGGAGAAGCATTGTTGAAAACATTCTTATGGCCCAGGAAATAGTACAAAATTACAATAGGATTAACATATCATCTAGAGGAGCTGTGAAGGTTGACCTCAAGAAGGCTTTTGATTCAGTAAGCTGGGAATTCTTGTTGTGTGTAATGAGGAAGATGGGATTCCCTACAGTATTTTGTCAGTGGATTCAGACTTGTCTTTCATCAGCTTACTTTAGTATTACAGTTCATGGGAGTCTGTTTGGATTTTTTCAAGCTGCTAAAGGGGTGAGGCAGGGGGATCCTATCTCCCCCTATCTCTTTACCATTGCCATGGAACCTCTCTCAACATGTTGGATAAAGCTGCAAGAGATAATGACTTACCCTTCCATCCTCAGTGCAAAAACATTGGCTTGACTCACCTGGTATTTGCAGATGATCTCATGATCTTCACTGAAGGCTCTCCAATGGCCCTAAGCAGAGTTCGTCGTATTTTAGATGACTTCTATACACTTTCTGGGCTGCAATGCAACCCAGAGAAGTGTGAAGTTTTCTTTGGGGGCCAAGCAAACAAGTTTAAGCAGAATGCAACTAGTGTTTCTGGATTTAAAGAAGGTCACTTACCTGTACGATATCTAGGACTCCCACTGATTGCAGGTAAGCTGACCAGTAGAGAATGCTCAATTTTGGTTGACAAGCTCACCATTCGAATTAGAGGATGGCGAGCTAAGAAACTGTCTTATGCAGGCAAACTCCAGTTGGTTGATTCTGTTTTGTATGCTGTTATCAATTATTGGATGAATATCTTTGTGTTTCCAAAGAAAATGATCAAGGCAATTCAGAAAGTGTGTGCAGACTTCTTGTGGCATGGAGATGGGACTGGTAGAGCAAAGGTGGCATGGGAGAAGCTGGCGCTGCCCAAGCAGGAAGGAGGGCTAGGTATGAAAGATTTATTAACTTGGAACGTGGCTTGTGTTTCCAGATTACTATGGCTGATTCTCATTAAAAGTCGTAGTTTTTGGGTAGCTTGGGTTCACAGGTATAGAATGAAGGAGAGATCTATTTGGCAGGTTACTAATAATGTGACAGGTTCTTGGATCTGGAGACAGTTATTGAAAATTAGATCATGGATGCAATTTAGGTTAGATGTTGATTCTTGTGGACAAGTGACTTGGCAGGGGAAGAAGATGAACAAGTTCTCAGTGTCAACAATTTGGAAGACCATTAGACCAAAGTATCCTATAGTTGATTGGTGGAAGGTTATCTGGAATAAGTATGTCTTACCAAAAAATAGAGTAGTGGCTTGGTTGATTATTTTGAATCGCATAGCTACTAAAGACAAATTAAAGCTTTGGGGGACCTCACAGGATGAGCAGTGTGTTTTGTGTGATTCTGAAGTGGAGAATCGTGAGCATCTCTTCTGTCAATGTAGTTATACTGTGGATTTTGTGAGTTGCTTGTTGCAGAGAAGGGTTACTTTGACTGGCAGATGGGAGGAGCAGTTGCAGCTGATGTGCAAGATAGCTAGTTCTCGAAGTGACAAAGGCTGTGTGGAAGTGGTATTTTGGTGTTGGTGCGTGACCTCAATCTGGAAAGAGAGATGTAGAAGGTGTTTTGGAGGGCAAGTTAAGACAGCCTCTCAGTTAGCAGAGCAGTTAAGGGAAGAGATCAGTCTGTACTGTTCTGGAAAGTTAGATTTTGAGCTTAAAGTTAGGGGATCAGACTACTCAAGCTGTATTAGTTAGCTTTTTCCTCTTTTTCTACTTTTGTATTGGTCTCGGGCCACACTGTATTTTCGACTCTTAGCTGGGTTTTCAGCTAGAGAGAGAGCTTAATGAAAGTTACTAATTACCGAAAAAAATGTCTATTTTATTTTCTTGCTGTGATATTCCTGAGAAATCAAAGGATAACCCTCTTTGATTTTCTATCACACAAACAATTTAACATTTTGTATGTACTACTATAAATATGTGCATTAATACACTCATATAATTATATAGTAAAACAAATAATTTCTTATGTGTACTGCATTAGTTGTTGATAATATTTTGGAGTGAAAATACTAATTTACTAAGTAAAATACATTATCACAGTTATGTATTTATGTGACAAGTTCTTATACCATAAAATTACTAAAATATATATACATAATTCAGTCATGTGCCATTATGATACATGATAATTCCATTTGTGTAAAAATATCATTGATGATGGTCGTCAATTTTTTTAACCAATTTATTTTGGTTTGAGTGAAAGTGTCATTGGTAAAAAAAAAAGTCACAGGAAAACCGAGCTATATACGTATTAATGAAACGAATTTGACATTTCTCACTTAATAAAGACGGTATAATTATTTTTCTATAATGCAACTCATTTTCTCATTTTATTTTTATGACATCAGTCATTGTTTCCCCTAACCTCCATGCAAACTTCTTAAAAAGAATATCTTTATTTTTTTTTATTCCATTCTAATTAATTTATTTTTCTATATTTTGACATAATTATTTATTTGTATTGTGCGTATGAAGATAGAAATCCTTGGGTCAGCTTCATCTGAATAACCTAAATATTGCATCAACTTAACAGTCAAGCTTGAAAATTTGACAGTTCTCATGGTTGAAATTCAAATAATTTTTAAATAGGCAACATTTATCAATTGGATTGTATATTTTATAATTTAATTAGGCATTCAAAAATTTTGTACAGAAAAATGAATTAACTGTGATTTACAAAACATCCATTTATAACTAATGGTTTTTTGGATGGAGATGGACGGAATGACCTTTTCGTTATTCATCCAAGCATTTGTTATTGAAATGTACAAAATTAAAGGTTTGTGACTGTTGTGTACTAAGTGCATAGTTTTGTGACCTTTTGTGCTAATTACCCCTGAAATAATGCAACAACATACTTCTACTTTGTTTATAATTGTATCCAACTATCTGTAAATCATCTATCTTTAACTACCTAATACAAACCACATACACACATGTCATAAGCTTTGGTTATATGAAACAAAACATTGAAACTCGTACTCAATTTGTGAATAAGTTTTCAGGGGAAGAGAATATGTTGAGTGCTATATAATCTTCTGCACTTCTCACAACACATATGACACTACCATTACCCATTATAGTCTTCCAACCTTCTTCACATCTTGAGACCCTTTTCATGTGCTCACCGTCCACTTCAAATGATCTTCCCAAATTACAAAGACATGAACCTCACAAAAGTCAACTAACATACGTCTGAGTATACTTGTCATATATGGACAAGCAGAAAAAAGGATCCCTACTATCAACTCCACCTTGAAAAGAGCAAAAGATCAATTTTCCACCTTTCCCTACGAAGCTAACTTATGTCGTGTAAGAAGGCGATCCAGAACAATCAAATTATGCTTATGTATTATAGGTTTAACCCATATCACAATGTGACCA